TGTCAAAATTAAAATAAATACGGTGTCATTTTGTCGTAATGTATATTTTCTTGCTTTGTGACATGGATATTTTTCAACCTATTATGTGGATTAGGATATTAATTTTGTTTTTCATAAAACGCTAATTTCCAATTTCCAGTTTCCTTCTTACATGTAGTGTTATTATTGTGGTCTCCGCTTTGACCGTTCTGTCCCCTGTGTAAGCTGGATTATTTGGCGCAAAATAAATGTTTAATATATTGTTGTCTCCTTGCTTCATCTTTTGGGTGTAAAAGCAGCAGTATTCTCGTGTCCTCATACAGTGACGGTGGATTCTTATCATGTGCGGCTGGACTTCTTTTTCCTGATTTTAGATTTGAGCATCTTTAGCTTAGTACGCTCATGCTACTTATGCTGTTTGACTATGCATAATCAAATCTCCTTTTATTGTACTTTGTTAGTTCCTTTTTGTTACGCCACTTTCCTTTTATATGTTTTTAATCTTTTTCTCTCATCCCCAAATCACAAAAAAAAAGGATGACACCCCATCCCTGAGGGCCCCCAACACCGACCGGACGGCACGATGGGAGATGTAAATTGGACTATAATCACAATCTGATAGATAGAGAGTGGGGTTCTGTCCCCGGTACTTGCAGAGGCCCTATGCATTTTTCAGCATAGTAATCCCTCATCGCAGTTGCCGGGATTCGAACCTGAATCACTTATGTAATCTTTTGAGTCTGAAATTCTAACGGAAAGAGATGAATTATCGAATCAGTTAAAATGTGAAAATTTATACTACCTCCGTCCCAAATTGATTTGCAAATTTGACTTTTTTTTGTCAAACAGATTTATTTTATTCGGTTAATTAGAATGTCAAATCTTAATAATATTCTAATTTGGAGTTTATAACTTGGAAGAGATTTTAATATAGATTCTGAATATATAAATATTAATTATTAAAAATTGAATTAATTAACGATGGGGAGCATTGATTTTTATTATTGGTTGACCAAAAAATATTGACTTTGCAAAACAATTTGAGACGGAGGGAGTATTTAAATTTTAAAATATACAGAGTATTTTATTGTTATCAAAGTAAACAAAATGTAATGAGAAAATAACTAAAATATGTGGATTCAACAATTTCCTTTAGTATCATGATTCTAACCATTACTTATTTTGATTATTATAAAATTCAGTGAGCAAAATAATAAATTGTATGTTTAATAAAAATGATGACAGAAAGATAAAAGTTGAGATTACCAAACGGGCTTCAGAATTGGCTTATTATGTTGAATTTGGTGAAATTCAAATTGAGAATGTTGAATTTGTTGCATTATGAAAAAATTATATTATTAATATGAAACATATTTTATTGATAAAATACAGAAAGAGTTATATGAAAAAATAATTAAAATAATTCTCTAAATGTATTCATTTTAAAGCCCGTTTAGTGACCCTTTTTTCAGCTTTCTTATCAGCCAACTTTTTCATCAAACTCATAAATTTTTATTCTACGTGTTGAATTTTGTAATAATAAGAAAAGGTAAAGTTAGAGTTACTTTTCCGGCTCTATTATCTGATGTTACTGTAGAGGATTATTTTATATGTTTTTCCATATAATTTTTTATTTACTTTATTCACAAAATATTTTTTTTTGGAATTTTTCTTCTTTAGAAATCAGTTGAATAAGCCAATCTAGTCACTTCAGCCAGAACTTCATAAATTTCAACAGAATCTATCAATACAGTTGATTTAGGTGTTACCAATATTAAAATTAGTGTTTGCTCGCAAATGGCGCAAGAGCTTAATTGTGTCCAATATTAAAATAATACTTTTCCTTTAAAGAAATACTATCGTATTACTCGTGTATAATATGTGAGATTTTTATGAGGTTTTTAAATAGTGTATAAAATTATCCTATATTTTATAAGTCATTAAATCGGTTATATTCCTAGTGAACCAACTTTATGTGGGAAATATGCCTATATTTTTGTAATTGTGAAATTTTAAATTAGTTGTATTTTTCATTTTAATATAGGTTTAAATATAGTTTTAGTTCCTGCAAATATGACATACTTTGTTTTAAGTCTCTGCAATTTTTTTTTTCATCCTTCTAATATGCACCATTTTGGTGTTAGTCCATCACTAACTCCGAAACAACTCTACTTAATTATTTTATTGTCGGATACATAAATCTACTATAAACATTTAAATTTATCATTTATAATTTTTTGAGTTTAATTTGAGAGTTAAAACAATATTAAAACTAATTATTCACATTTTTAAAATATGTATTAAAAACCTTTTAACAAATGAAATTAAATACTTTTTGAATGACATGACAAAGAATTAAAGGATACCTATTTGTTGGGATTGCTTCGTTGTCAAACGGAGGTTGTTATTATTAGTCACGGACTAAAAAGAAAACCAACATAAATTTTGGAGAGGAAAAACAAATAAAATATTTTGCAGGGACCTAAAACAAAATGTGCCTTATTTATAGGGACTAAAACCATATTTAAACCTTTAATATATGGTATAATTGTAACAAGAATAATGTTTTATAATGAATTGTGATAGTAGTATTTCTACACACAATATACACACACATATACACATATATATATCATGTTGATATTGAGTTGGTATAAATGCAAGTGTTGTGTGTATTATGAAGTATATAAAACATTTGTGATTACCGGTGTTGTGTTCTACAAGGAAATAACCTAAATTTAAGATCATTGTTCTTTACGCCGTGAGAGCGGTAAGAATTTATTATTAATAACGTTGCTCAATAATTGAATAATTTTTATATTATTTTAATAACATATACGCCATAACCAATTCTTGTCCCGTGCGGTCGTGCTTGTTATTAAATCAATTGTTAAAAAAATTAATTTTTAATTTCGTTTATCTGAATTTAATATTCCAAACCAGTCTCATATAATTATTTTTAATTTATTGAATATAAAATAATTTAAAAGTTTTTTCGAAAATATTACTAATAAATTAGTCACAGGCAAAAATGTGACTTGGTAACTTTTAGTAACTATAATTGTGTTCAAAGTGTACATCATAGTAACTACATCATAGTAACTGTGAATACACAATTATAATTACCAAGTCACATTTTTGTTCATCACTTTTTCAGAAGTAATATTAGTGGATTTTTTTTCATAATTTAACACTTATTCTAAATTGCTTGTTGCTAGGAAGTCTAAAGGAATTGGACGCTTATTGAGGAAATGAGTGCATTAGAGAGAAGATATTAATAGTAGAATACATGAGGTGGAAAAAGATCATGTCCATCCGGAAGGACAGGAGCGCCGTCCGGCTGCCGCCGTTTGGGATGGTTCTCGGTGGAGGTTTTTGATGAAATTTAGTGAGCATGTTCCTCATCAAGTCTAGTTTATTGACAAAATATTTCAACTAAAAATTTGATCGGGAAGGCAATCAAATAATTTTTGAAATATAACTGCGTTTTATAAGTATAATTTTGCGCAGTTAACTTCAAAAAATCATTTGATTATCTTCCTTATCAAATTTTCACCTGAATTTTTTTGTGTATAGACTAGACTTGATGAGGAACATTCCCAAAAAAATTCACCGGGAACCGCCCCAAACGGAGGCGTCCAGACGGCGGATCCTGTCCCTCCGGCTGGACAGGATCATTTCTCTACATAAGGTTATTACTGTAAATTGTATTATTTTTCATTAATATATAAACATATGTCAGAGATACTAATTGATAAGTCCTATTCTATCTCTATACACATATTAATTAATGGTGTTTCAATTTATAGTTAGATTGAATGTGAGGTGAATGACAATTTTCCGTTTGGTAATATCAGACTTATCAGTTCATTTTTTTACTAAACACGTAACTTTTGATTTCATGCGCATTGTGTAATAATAATAAAAAGTAAGGTTAACGTTACTTTTCTGTCTGTATTGGGTGAAGTTACTGTATATTATCATTTTAGCTATTTCTCATATAAGTTTTTCTTTATTGTATTAATAAAAAATATTTTAAATATAATTTTTTCATAAATCAACAAAAACAGCCACTTGAGCCAGAATTTAAATTCCAGTAGAATCAGCCGATTCAGCCAATTTCGGTGTTACCATTTTCTTAATATCTTTTTGTAACTGATATTAGTGAGAGGTCGTGATTGGAAGGTTAAATGTAAAGAGTTTACAATTTTCACTATACTCCCCACTCTTATGATCTATGAAACAAGGCCACTATTTTGGAACATCCCAAAAGTAAAACACTCTTATGATCTATGAAACAAGGCCACTATTTTGGAACATCCCAAAAGTAAAACAAGATAATTATTTTGAGACGGAGGTAGTACATTTCTAAAGCTTTGCCTAAGTAATTTTTTATTTTTTCAATTTCATTAATAATTAAAAGTGGAAGAAATAATGGAGAAGAAATTTGAATGGAGTAAGGGTAAACAAGTCAACTTAATAAAAAACAAAGTCCAACTTTTTACAGGTGTATAAATGTATAATCACTTGGGCATGCAGTGATTAGAGATTTAGAGGTGTATTGACACAAGTAAAAGATACTCCGTATTAAGTTACCGACCATTGTTCAATTAGATGCAGTGTGCCAGTATACATGCAAAAGCATTCTGAATATATGCATTAGTTTTTTTCTGTTTCTAATTCCTTAATCGCATTGCTATATCAACCGCAAGAAGACTGCATGTGCTAAATTGCCAATGCTACCACCATTCTGAATCTTGCTAAATTTCTACTCCGTATCATTTAATTCCCCACAAATGTCGCCCCTCCAAATGACCAAATTTAGGCCGATTGGAAGGACGGAACATAACAATCTCCTTTGATATTTATAATTCTATAAATTATTAATTATACGGAGTACAAAGTATTAATTTGATAATTTCTTTGGTCAAAAAAAAAATTGATAATTTCTTTTCCCACTCTTTCGCAATCCAAACGAAGAACATATCAATCCTTTATACAAGTCTAATAATTTTTCTCCATCATTCCAAACACACGCCATGTATTTATGGGGATTGGGGGCAAAGTTTATTAAGCCAAATTTAGCACATAGAACAAAATCTTCCAATTAGAGGATTGCATGAAAATCTGCTTCGCAAAAAAAAACTGAGGATTACCAGTGTATACACCAACTGATTCCATCTACCAAAGGAATTACTCGTACAATACCAATGTGACATGGAAGACAAGGCTAAAAGAAGATAACCAAAACAGCGTCACTGAGGATGACAACTTAAAATTAGACAAAACTTTTTACTTTATATGTCGGGATGATGTTCGATCAAAGCTGAAGGGATGTCCCAGTCAATTTATGGCTTCTTCCCCCGTTCTATCCACTCTATAAGGGAATGAAGGCATAACTTATTAAGTTGGCAGTGAAAAGTGTCATCCTTGCATTTCTCAAAATTGGTTAGTACACCATCTCTAAATATAAACTGTGAATTCTGACTTGGATCCAAATTTGTATTTACAGTGCTATCAGTACCACCACCATGGCAACTACATTTGGTCATCTTCAATGCACAGCCTGAACTCTCAGCTAGCAGCCACAAACTAAGAGATGAATGAATCTTTGCAGATAATGAGGCCACAAAATCATTAACATCCTCTACCTTACAATCTTTACCCACATGTCCTAACTCACTTTTGACCCGATCCCTTAACAAGCGTTGAAGTTTCAGAAGACACTCATTGCAGCAACCTAAGAAGCACACTGTTGGAATGAGAGTAGCTTTATTAACATTGATGCCATCACAAGGCTCAGTCTTGTCATCTTCAAGAGTAACATTATTTTCAGTGCCACAAATATCATTAACGTCCTCTTGGTCTTGAATATTGACATTTTTTGGCTCTGCATGACCATTACAATATACAGCTGGCGGCCCACAATTACCACCTTTATGAGACACTGTATCAGTTGGGTTGTTAGTACCACAAGTGAAACCATTCTTCACCGAAATTGAGGAAGGCACAGCAACTGCAGAACCCACTATATCTTCCAACTGGGAGGCACCTTCTTCGCCTTGATCACCAGGATTAACTTCTACATTTACAACACCATTTTGTTCAACTATTTTAGTATTTGATTCAAGGGCCGCTGCAACGCTTCCAAATTCTGTACAGTGGTCCATCTCCATTGACTGAGATGTCAACTCTGTACCTGCAACATTATTACCTTCTACTACTGTCCTTGCTTCATGCAAGGCATCATCATCACCTTCGAAACTAGCATTCCTAGGAGGGTTAGACTCTCCTGATTGTCCCACAGAGTTAAATGTTGAGTTTGCTTTTGGCCCTGAGCATCGGCTATCCACCTCTGAACTGAAACAAATTCATTCTAAGTTAGACATGAAATCAAAATGTTAGAAAATAATAATTAATTAACTGGCGTCATACCTCTGCAACATGTAAAGCCAGCTGCTTACCATGTCATCAAGATAAGCCACTTGAGATAAGAGACGGCTGAATTGATATCTGTCTTTACCACCCTGAACTTTGTCATTAATTTCCGCAACTAAAAGCTCCAGAACTCTACGAACATCAGAAGATACTTCTCCAAGTGAAACATATTTTCCTGTGTATGCTGACAACCCAATAGCTACCAGGCCTCTTACTATACCATAACTTTCTTTGCTTTTGGCATTGGTAGTAGAGGGAGCAACTTCCTTCAGTGAGTTAATTGGACGAATAATACATGAATTGAAAGGCCAGCCTTTCCAGTGCCCATTTATGTCAGCAGTAGGACCATCTTTTAACTTGGATGTGGCCCAACAAAGTTCAGCAAAATGAGGATATCGCAATATCTGATAGCCGAAAGTAGTAATTGCTAACAACAAACTCGATTTCCCTTTTCCAGCTTTACTGTTAGCTGCAAAAGGAGAAACAATGTTATCAAAAGAAGATTGATTGCCTTCATGCTCAATTGCTGATTCTGGTTTTGAGTTGGGACCCGTAGATGGAATATCCTCCTTGGTTTCATCAGAATCATTAGCATTTTGTGGGATTATAGGCATATGATTTTCCCGATAAATCAACTGGATGAAGTGCTCAACTAAATTAGTTGACAGTCTTGAGGCAAATAGATCGACAACCAGATCAACATCGAAACTCTCATCCAGCTCTACAGAAAACTGTGGTACAGGACTCCCTAATGGAGTTGAGCGACTTTGATTTAATTCATAACCTTTTAAGTACTGTCTTATCCTCGAAGGAAGGGCTTGAATGGGCATATCTGATGTAGCCTGTATGAACAAAGGAAAGAGAGGGCTACTGTTAGTCCTTATTGACATATTAACTCCATATCCAAGGGAATTTTGTACTAGCTGAAGCTACAGGGACTAATTATCTACTGATTAAACGGAGGAAAACATTTTCCTTTTAATGAAATATGCTTTGTGCAGACACTAAAAGGTTAAATGAACTTACCAGAATAGTCAAGGATGTAGAAATACATAAGGTCTCAATCTGCTCAACAAAAGAGTTCCAGATGTATGACGCCTCTCTTACTTCATTCTCAGACTCCACTACCATCGTATTGGCAACAGGAAAAGTGTCTTCTTTGTTTACTTCATCAAAGGATTTCTCCTCGGTTTCAAAAACCTTGGAAGTAGTCTCCACAGCCCATAAATCTAACCTTGGCAAAAATATCATGCATCTCCTAACATTTGCATGCCTCACTGCCACAGTATAATGCATTTCTTCAGAAGGAGTAAAAAAGACTTAACCAGCCCTAATTACATAATTCAGATTTCAGAATGCTAATGTATTAGCTCTGTAGTAATGACTAATGAATTCAAGTTCATAACAATAAGAGTGATACGTGGATAAATTTAAAATTAAAATGAACTAGAATTGATGGTGATGAATATGAATGATAACTTTTGGCCTCACGTGAATGAAAGTTCAAGTTAAAAACATTAGAAATGATAAGTAACATTACGCTTTTCAATCTCATGATAGACAAATTCTGTTCCTTTTCGAGCATGTGTTAGTTGACTTATCGAATAACAATTTCATGATGCAGTTAATGAAATAGTAATAATAAGAAAATTCTGTGAGCTTCATGGATGTCAAGGGGAACATAAGAACAAAGTGACATAGGAGGAAACATACTCAATATCCATGTCAATCCCTGTATAATATCCCCATGCCCTTCTTGTGACATAGTAGCCAAATCAATTTTTTGAATATCAATATTGCCAACAAAGCAATGGAGAAGACAAGAAGCAAAGTGCCTCTGTCCACATCTTGGATTCCCAGAAACTAATATTCTAGATCCACATTTTATTCCCGATATATTTTGCATCAAGTTAGCACGAGCACCCATATGGTGCAATTTGGAATGGTGCCCAGATGTCGAGTGATCAACATCAAAGTTCTCCTCAAGAACATCAGTCATACAAGTTCTTGAATCTCGAATCAGAATACTTGCACGTGAGAGTTGATCCTCAACTTTCAGGTAAACATCAGGTTCTTTAAGCAAATCATGAATATGAACCCACCAATTACCCGTGAACACTTTCTTTTCATCCAAAGCAGAGATGAAAATGTCTTTTACCAATGAAAGAGCTTTAGCAAGGCGATGCGGTAAGAAAACACGCTCATCTAGATAAAGGGAAACAAACAATTCACAAAGCGGTTGAGAAAGACAGGGAAAAAGAGAGGTGTGAAGAGGTAGTGCGACCACATCATTTGCAGCCATCCCAGCTTCTCTACGTGAACAAGGAGGTGGTGCATGCACAAGAGATTGCAACCAATCCTGTTCCTCCACAGTAAAGCTGGGTAGGGGAGGATACTTAACATGAGGCCCTCTCTTTGCCGCTGCAGAGAGATACTGATGTAAGGGGAAGCTCCTCTTCAGAGCAAGAATGGCAGCTTGAGTACACAAGGCCTGAAGATCAGCACCCGCAAATCCCACAGTTTTCTTGGCTATCAATTTGAGCAAGGGTCCAGAGACAGGTTTAGGCCATTTTTTTGTGTGCAGAGAGAGTATTGCTTCTCTGTCCTTCACTGATGGCAATGGAAAATAAATTTCTCGGTCGAATCGCCCAGGCCGTCTTAAAGCTGGATCAATGGCATCAGGACGATTAGTGGCTCCTATTACAACCACAGATCCTCTAGATTTCAGTCCATCCATCAGGGCAAGCAATGTGGACACTACTGAACTATGAGTTTGATCCTGCTGCTTTGTGCGGCAAGGAGCCAAGCCATCAATTTCATCAAAGAAAATGATAGAAGGTTGAGATTTTTCCGCAACCTGAAACAGAAGTCTCAATTGTCGCTCAGCGTCACCAACATACTTTCCCAAGCAATCTGCTCCTTTTCGAGCAAAATATGCTATGCGTTTATCACCTCGAGCACATGAACCAATAAGTGCGCGTACAATTAATGTTTTACCAGTCCCAGGGTATCCATGTAAAAGGACACCCCTAGGAGGTGTGAGCCCAAGACTGCTGAAAAATTCTGGGTATAATAGTGGTAAGATGACCACCTCCTTCATGCACTGGATGACATCTTGAAGCCCAGCAATGGATTCCCAACCTTGAAACTCAGCACCACTATCACAGTTAGAGCCTCCTATATATACAGGAGAAATTCTTAATAAATCTCGATGAAGCCTCTTGCTCTCACGTTTCAAAAATTCTTCATCCTCACCACAATTTTCAATCCACTTTTCTTCTGCTTCAACATCCTTGCGATATGCATCATTAGATGCCTTCCTCAGCTCTAACTTCAACTTCTTAGCTTTCATTTTCCTTAGATGGCGCAGATGTTTACTTCCATGTGGTTGGAATAGATGTCCGTGATCAGTACAAGCTATGAGAAACTTGCGATGATCAAATGTGCAACCTGTGGCTCGTGCACATGACTGCCAAATCAAATAACTCCCTCAGACAAATGCAAGTTTGTGAGACCACACATGTACATGTAAGTAACAATTTCAAGCAAACAATGATTGGGGGAGGGGGGAATAATGCTTAAGGATGGTTCTGACCAGGTGGTAGGTTTTTGGACATCTATCAACACGGCATCCAATGGTTGCTCCAGTCCTGCCACAACGACTGCATTTCAAAACCCGTCCCCTGCTAAGTGCTGCCCTAACATTTTTCATGCGTCCTAAACCAGCAAAATACACCTGAAACCAAACAAAAAGGCATGAACATCTGCCAGAGGTTGACTTTTAGTGCCTATAAGAGTAAAAAAGGTAATGATGAATGCAGAAGTAGAACAATTTAAGAAAACAAAAACTAAAAAATGACTATATGAGTCAGGAAAGAAGGTGGATAGAGGGTAGCTTACTAATAACAATGTACTAACATTTCTCTCATAAAGCAACAATTGGTCTGATGGTATGTCCCTGATAATTCAAAACTTTTCAAATTTTGAATAAAAGAAAGGCGAGCATGGATGAACATAAGTATAAAAGATAAGGATACCGAATAATAAGCATGAAAATGCCTAATGAAAATATTGACTTCCAAATAAAGCTCCACCAACATTTACATTACTTCTAATTTCAAACCTCAAGATTTCAAACTAAAACTATATAAATCCCATAAAAATCATATTTCTGAACTTTTCTTTTTCCAAAATTATCATGTTTACTCACATGAGATTAGTTTCAAGGGGGTTGCCAAAATAAAGTATCATACAAGTTTATAATGTCAAATTTAGATAAACCATTACAGAATTTTCTAATATACAAGTATCATTTACTTATAATAGTTGCACTTTGAGTCTTTGACAACAACAAAAGTTGTACTTTTCATCAAATAAGACATTTTTTATGTGACAGGAGTACTTTGTAAATAAACTGTAATGAGAAGAAGATCAGCACTTTTAAAACAGATAAAGGAACGCTAAGAGTGGTAGACTTACTTAAAGACTGGAGTATGGAATAAAGTTTTATGATTGCAAGCAAATCTTTTACATGATAGAAGTGTTCAACAAGCAGATAAAGAATCAAGCATGACTGGAGATACACATAGAATCCAATTAGAGAAACATGGCTATGTGACCTATACCTCTGGACTCCATACAGCGCATTGCTGATGAACCCAAATTCCAGCAATACCAAAACGATCATTTATAGGGCCCAGGAGGCGTCCAAGCCAGGTTGGTTCATCGCCAAAACCATCCCAAACATCATAACCATGTTCATCAGAAGCAGAAGATTCGCTATGTGCCTCATTATCACTTAGAGCTCCATCATGTACTAGCTTTCTGGGAGGTTTTCCATCTGTAGCTCCTCCACACAAGCCACAATGTCTTCCTTCTTTTATCTTCATCTTTCTTGGAACATCAATCCTCCCCTGGTTTCCTTGAGGTTTATCACACGAATTCTTACCCTTTCTTCTGTAGAAGATAATGCCATCTTCTGCATCTTTTCTCACTTCATCACATCCTACTTTTGAATGTTTATAAGTGACTCTACTAACATTATCATTTACTTTTTCACCAACACTGACCAAGCCAGTGTGTAAGGCACTCCTTTGGTCTCCTGACCAAAAGCAGGAACACCTTTCTACCCGCATATCCTGATCCCTGTGTTCTACATGATCTGAAAATGTGCACTGCTTGCAGTTTGAAAGCATTTCTGCTCCATCTTCCTGATCGACAGCTGGTGAATGCACACTCGCATCCTTTACTACCTTATTACTTTCTCTGTTCAGTGGAAGATCTTCTCCATTCACTTCTTCTAGCACTGCTTCCGTGTTTATCAAATTTTCCTCTACTTGAGGCACAAAAATGTCAATTGTGAACATGTCTTCCTTCTCACTCATTTTTGTTTGTTCTGCATTTATCAATTCCTCACCCTCCATACTACCACCCAAATCAACATCCCGGTTGTCAAAGGAACTTGAAGCTTTAACTCTTCCGGGTGTATTTGACTTAACAGCAGTCAATCTCCCACATACCTTCCGTTCTTGATTGTCATCAAACAGTTCAGCCTCCACCTTTGATTTTCCCTTGAGCTTTCCCAAGTTCTCAACAGCCTCTCTTCTAAATGCTGGTGAGGTCTTCCCCTTCGCTCTTAAAATAAAACTTGCATTTCCAGGCCTGGATCTCAGCCTTGATCTCCAGCCACTAGAATGCTCAGCGAAACCCCTAGATGTTGAGCACGACATCTCAAACTGCTTTCCATCTTCTTCTATATCAACACCACTCACCCTGCCCCTCTCTTCAACCTTTGTTCGCTTTTTGGGACGAGGAGGAGAAGAATCAAGTAAAACGGGAGCCTTTCGGACCCTAGTGCTCCGCCGGAGCTCATGTTCACTCTCTCCAGCATTGCTACACTCAACAGGCACCTCCCTGGCAACCGCACTATGGTTCAGAGTATAGGCCTTTTCACAAATAGACTCTATCCTCTTGTGTTTCCTCTTAACCCTAAAACTCCCAAGCTTATTATCCTTTGTTCTCCCTTCCACCGACGATGACCTAGAAAATCGCATGACAAACACCTCCGACCAACTAAAGCCTCCTGCTCTGTTTTCCAGTAGCAATCTGGAAAATCTATCGGGATAACAAAATGGGGGTTGAAACCCTAACTTTTGCTCCAAACAGGTGCATAACTCCCATTAATTGGACAGAAAATGAGACATTTATGATTTCGACTGATCGATCAAACAGTCCGGGACTAATCGGAAAAGAACCTGTAAGCCGTCGATTTCAAACTTAACATAGTGATTCTCTTCTGTCTTTCTGCGATCCCGCGAAGACGAATTCTAGCTATTCTGATTTCTTCAGTCGGAAAATACTATTCATGTCCTATTCTGCCTCTGTAATGATCTGATTTAATCCTTGCTCGAGTATGTTTTTCTCAGTAGCTGTTATTATGCAGAGAAGAAGGAGCCAACAAGTAGGCGGAGGTAAAGAGAGAGGGTTTCATACAAGGAACGGACTGGGCTCGAGTTTCCACGCGCGGAACGGGAGAGTTAGCCGCACGGCTTAGGCCTAGCGAGTAAAAAACTTGTATGACGTGGTAATCTCTGGCCTTGGCGTGGGGCGTTGCTTGCACGCGATGGAAGGGCGCGGTGGTGAGAGAGAAGAGCTCGTTGAGCATAAATATTTTGTAGATTTTTTCCTCATAACGTTACCGCCAAATAGGTAGGATTTTTCTTTATTAAGAAACAAAATTGCAAAACTACATTACATTTTATGAGGCGGTAACGGTTGTTTGGAGGGAAAAAGATTTTCCCTCACTCCCAAAGTATGGAAAAGTTTGGAAAACTTGATAATATACTCCTCCCTCATTTCTTTTCTTTTTTAGCAGTTACATTTTAGAATAGCATAAATCATCATCCCACCAACAATAATAGACCAAACCCACTCACAAGACCTCTTAAAATCGACAGGCTCCTGTACCCCTTGATCGGACGTAGAACACGCTACCTAAAAATGAGTAAGACTATTCACTGAACATGTGAGAGATTCGAAGTTATAATTGGCCACAACCGCTTGATCGCTTCCATAAAATTTGCTACCTAAACAGATAAAAACCAAGACCAGTCCACCATCCCAGAGACAAACACAACAGTAACAAGAGAGTACTTAAAAACCAGATAAAAGTAACTGAAAAGATGTAACTAGCAAATTTGCAATCATCCTATGAACTTCTCCGCTCCACCCTTATTTTGATACATATGTAGGGTCTTCATTAGTGTGTCAGACGAGCTACAAAGTTGCAACTCCATGTTGCTATTGACAGGCTCCTCCTGCTCATGGTCTATTCTCCTGTGCTCCTACTCAACATTTTCACATGTCTGCGCCTGTGCTTTTCTAGTAGCCGAATCATTCTGTCCTTCAATATTTGAACCAATCATTGCCTCCTCTCTGCTTTGAGACTGTCCCTTACCAGTCGGGACTAGCCACCTGTTTCCTTTAGTTTGAACTCTCCCTTTAGTAGCTCTCAGCCAAGTCCCAAAGGGTTTGTCCCCCAACCTCATGCAGCCCACGAGGACAATACTTCTCAACATGTCCGATGATTACCACACAAATAGGGGTGGAAATAGGTCAGCCGACCTGTCAGGGACCTATGGTCTGGCCTGTTAAAAGCCTGGCCTGGCCTGTTTAGTAATCAAACTAGATTTGGGCTTTTCAAAAAGCCCGTTTATCTAAATAGGTCAGGCATAGCCCAACTCTGAAGCCTTTTTACCTTAACAGGCCGACCTATTTATATGTGTATATATATGTATATATGTATGTATGTATGTATATAACTATATAGTTATATTTATATTTATTTATATTATTTATATTTATATTGGTATACTCAACTATAACAAAATCGGTATAATAGTGTTTTTAGGGAGTGTGTATTATAAATTAGAATAGAAATTCAGGTGTTAATAGTTTATTAAGGTAATTGAAATTCAAAGTTTTTCAAGATTCAAAGTATATAGAAATTTATAAACTACATAATAATACTCCATAATAATGTATTATTAGACATCCAAAGCAAAAATAAAGTATTATTAGACTTTTTAGTGAATATTTGGGGAATAAATTTTATACCGGGTTAAAAAGATTTCACTTTTCATTTTTTATTTTTTTTGAAATTTTGATTTTTTTTCTTAACAGGCCCAGTAAACAGGCTTCAGACTAGACTTTTTAACAGGCCAGGCCCATGCCGAAAAAACAGACCTTTAACAGGTAACAAGCCAGGATCAGGCCTACATATTCTAAAATAGGCCCGGCCTGTTTAGGCGAAAGCCTGGCCTGGCCAATTTCCACCCCTACACACAAGAAACAAGAACTAGGCAATTTCTCATAACAAAAATTAACACAAAAATTACCTCCTTTTTGCAAGAACAGTTTCCTTTTCAAGGGTCTACTATGATCCAAGCTTACTCTTATCCTTGTGAAAAGATTCCATTTGACAGGAAAATTATATTCATCAACCTTAATGAATTTCCCCAAAAAAATCTCAACTTTCAGAACATTGTCAATAGTAAAATATCTTATTGGTATGTCATGAACATGTATCCAAAACCCCACTCTATTCAAGGGAATGGTCATAGACAAGATTTTGATAAGATTTTGATAAAAAAAATCTTAGGGCCTCCCTCCATTACACGAAGCATACATTCTCATTATAGAACTGAAACATATAGCGTCTAGCCCCAACTCTGTGATAGTAACACCTTTTACTGATCTCCACACTGATGCCATTGTATCACAGGAAGTTGAGAAACGTATCGATTTTCCGAAGTAATGGTCCCAATGAGCGCTAGACCCATGTCTGCCACCCCAATTGTCCTGGCCTCCCCTAATATAGTCTCATGATCTTCATCCATCTCCATTCTGCCGTAAGCCTGAGCCAACTTCTCCACCTCGCTCTGCTCGTGAGTCGCATCCATCGTTTGGCCAAAAGGCACATCCACCTCGCTCGTGAAAGTAATCTGCCTCGTTCCTACGAACGTCCTCAGCAAACTTCTCCATCCAAGCCAAACAAAATTGTCGCTGCTTCAGATTACTAAGTGCAAGAGCCTTTCGACAACCTACTCGACGGCCAAGTAGAGTCGTCGTCCAGTAGGTTACAATTTCTATCCTATGGATAAACCCTATGCACCTGTCCGCTAGTTGGGTTAGACTTATTTTTGGCAGTTACATATTATTTTTGCGAACTTTTTTATTATTTGTTCACAGTTTCACTTTTAGTACGTTTATTCTATAAACATAATTTTAGATTTTCACTTTTATTATTCTTACTTTTTTTCTTTTAACAAACTACTCCCTCCGTCCCGGAAAGAACTTCACCATTTGACTTTCACACACTTTTATGCAAGTAAAAACGGGAAGTTGACCTTCCCAATATACCCTTGCAGGGAGTTAGTGGCCGGCTTAGGGAATGAGGGGAAAAATAAAAAATGGGGGTAATGAACAGTGGTAGGGGGACAAACACTGCAACAAAAAACAATAAAATCAATTAAAATTCTTGATGGGATGGAAAGTAGATATACTCATTACATTTCCAGCATATAGAGCTTCTCCCCTGCGTATCACCACACACTTTACACAGTTTGGCTCCAATTTTTTTTACTATTCACCCAATTACAAATTTTCCCTCCATCCATTTCTATTTATACTACCTTAACTACAACTACAAGAACAAAAAACTGCATCCGAACTCTCCAATGGCATAAAGAAGAAATGAAGAGCGCAGATGGCAGTTTCACCCCGCATCCGAAGTCCCTGAATCTGTAGAAACAACAAATAGGTCAGAAAAATCACGCTTTGCCAAGCTAACAAATGCTGAGAGGGGATGCATAATACAGATTCTTTTAACTCATTGCACAAATGGTAAACTTCAGAGAGGCATAGCAATTAACACAACACTGAAGTACAACATTTCAAGGTGCACAGTCAACAACTTGTGGACAAAAGCAAGTAAGCAAATGGTAGAAGGAAAGTGCATCAATGTTGACAGCATTCAAAAGGGAAATGTAGGTAGGAAAAGGTTAACAGTTAACTTGGAAATGATCAAGGACATCCCACTTCATAAGAGAAAGAATATTAAAGCTTTAGGATATGCCATGCACATTTCAAAGTCTAGTGTGCACAGACTGGTAAAAGGGAAGTAAATCAAAATGCATTCAAATGAAATCAAACCCTTGTTGACAGAGGTGGGAAAACTGAAGAGGTTAGAATTCCGTTTAACACACATTAACTGGCCCAATATCCAACTACCCCCACTTTTCATCACTTTTATGATTACCTTCACATTGATGAAAAGTGGTTTTTCCTGTCAAGAGAAACCACTTCCTTTAACACTCACCCGAGTGAAGAAGATCCTTACAGGTCAGCTCAGTCAAAAAAAAAAATTATACCCAAAATCATGTTTTTAGCAGTAATGGGCAGACCAAGATTTGGTGACACCGGGGAGGTATTATGGGATGGGAAGATAGGGATATTCCCTTTCACTTTTGAAGAAAAGGCAAAGAGATCAAGTAAGAATAGATGTGCAGGCACATTAGAAACAAAGCCTACTCTAAGTGTCACAAGAACTGTGATGAAGGAAATGATGTTGCAAAATGTACTGCCTGCAATCAAGGCCAAATGGCCAGATGCACCCAATAAAAGGGTTATAATTCAGCAGGACAATGCAAGACCACACATAGATGCCAAAGATGAAGACTTTCTTAACAGTGCTACACAGAATGGATGGGACATACAACTGACATTCCAACCACCTAATAACCCAGATCCTAATGTCTTATATTTGGTCTTTTTCAGGGCTATAGACACAATTAAAGAACAGAAAGCCCCAAAACAATCAGTCAGTTAACAGATGCAGTGTGTACAGCTTATGATGAACTCACACCATCAACTTTGAACAAAGTCTTCCTCAGCTATCAATATGTCATAGAAGAAATACTAAAGCATAAGGGTGGGAATCATTACAAGCTGAAACATGTAGACAAAGACAAACTTGAAAGACTTGGGTTGTTACCCCAAAAATGTACAAGTCACCCCTGAAGTAGTACAAGAAGCAAGAGCAACATTGCTTGAAATACAAAAAAGAGGGACACAAGCAGAATGACATGCCTAGGGAGGTGTGAGTTCATAAGTGAAGATCATGATTGATCTTCAAGAATGAACTCAATTTTGTTTTTTTTTGTATGTACAACCATAGGTGGCAAAAGTGCATTATTTTTTGTATGGACACAATGGGAGGCAAAAGACACTTTTTGTAGAGTACTGACATAGGCGCCTGCAGTACTTAATTTTTGTATGTACAGCCATAGGTGGCAAAAGTACAATATTTTTGAATGTAAAGCCTTAATTTCCAAGTCAATGATAGTCCTTTATTATTGAATGCACTGTCTAAACATTAACATTGCCATCTA